AATTACAGATTCATAGCACTGGGAGGATAAATGACTCAAAATTTCCTTATTATGTAAATCGATGTAATCACACTAAAACTTGTGGAGAGATATCAACAAAAGAAAAAGGTGTAATTGAAAGTCAGTATCCTGGTGTAATTCCTAGTGCAAAAGTTAGAGTCTACTAATTCCTTCATATCATGGATTAATCTTTGAGGGCAATGGTAGGGCAATTTGGTAACTCATAACATATTTTTCTTGTACATGGAGTTACACCTTTGAAATCACAGAAATGGAAAACTGATGTTACATTTTATTGAATATCCCTACAAACTGGAGCAAGATACAGAACAAAATGTGTCATACTATGGGTTAAAAAAAAAAAAAAAGAAAAAAGAAAAAAAGACAAGTGTAGATCAGTTAATAAAAAATGGGGGAGCTAGAAATGAATCAGACAGAGAAAACTTGAACTTTAATACTTTTGTCTCAGTTTCAAAGTGAAATATTGACAGTAACCAGATTGTTAAATACATTAATTTAAAAAAAAAAAAATGTACAAAAAAGCTAGACTAAATGTGTTTTAGATTATATAGATGTAGTCAAGTAAGGAAGTCCTGATTCACCTTAGGGCACTAAAGGAACTAGACAATGTAATAGCTGAATCACTAGCAATTATGTTTAAACGTTGTGAAGAACTGAGTAACAAACATATTATTTATCCTTGAAAGGGAGAGTATGGAGGACTTAGAAAATTATAGCTCACAGCACTCAAATTTAATTCCTGCAACAAATCATTAGGTAATCAGTTCAAGTATCTAGAAGGCAAGATGGTGATAAAAACTACACAACATTTGTACAATAAAAACCCAAGCCAAACAAACTTTTTTTTTTTTTTTTTTTTTTTTTTTTTTTTTTTTTTTTTTTTTTTTTTTTTTTTTTTTAATAAGTCATTTAAAGGATAAGGGAAAGACAGTAAATGTAACATACTTTGACTTCAGTATGATTTTTCACTGTCTCAAATGGTATTCTGTGATTGCATAATTCTCAGAAGCATGCTGAGGAAGCACAGTGAAGATGAAATCATCATCAGGTAGGTGTGAAATTGGCTAGAAAAAAATCCCTGAGAGCACTTACTTATCACCGACATCAGAAAGCATCTTAAAGGGGACTCCTCAGAGCTCAGCTATATTTGATGTTTTCTATAGTGACAGAAGATGGTGTAAAGTTCAATTTGTGCAGTTTACAGCTGATACCATGCAGGCAGGGCTAGAAAACTCTTTAGACCAAGATCAGGATGAGATCAAGAAGTTATCTTTTGAAATAAAACCAAACTCACGAAATCAGGTCAAAAAGGAAAAACAAAGGTTAACAAAAAAGAATGTAAGATATTTGCAGGTTCACAAAAGCAGATACTGTCTTGGACTCTACCGTTTGGTATGGTCTATGTAAAAAAAAATGAGGCATCTCATTTTACCACTGGTGGTCTCAGTTGGAACACTGCACTAACAAAGATGTTGACAAACTGAAGAGTATCTAGAAAAGAACAGGAAGAATTCTAGAAAACAAAAACCCCACACACAGTCACTGCATGCAGCTCTGATCCACACAAAACAGGAGGCAGATATGACAGATAAGGTAGGTATGAGAACCTTTGTGGGTCACTGGTAGATCACTGGGCATTTTAGCCCTGATATTTAGGCCCATATCGGGGGCACTGTTATTTTGAGCTCAGCGTATTGGAGTGGATACTTGCTCTATGGGATGTCAACTTTCATTCTCATTGCTATGGGCTAGATCAAAGTTGTGCACAGTGTTGTGAACTGCAGCAACACGTAGGAAGAAGTGGGTTGGGGTGGAGGGAAATAGGGAAAGACCTTGATGGTTGAAAGATCATGATGGTTGTTAGACCATAACATCATCCCAATGATTCATCATTCTCAGTGAAGAGTTGCTAAAGCTATTTTCTACCCAGAAGAGCGAAAAAAAATATAGTATAAGCAATTCCAAATCTTAGATCCATATGGTATTTTTAAGTGCTTAATTTGCAATAAATTGGTTGTAATTAGTTTTCAATTAGGGTGAAAAATTGGAAGAAATATATGGTTCCTGGGATTGAAGTATTTCAAACAAATCATGAAAACACTGGTCTGTCCTCTTAGATATACGTTTTAGTGTGTACATTCTGGGAGAACAAAATTTTTTTGTGAATCCTTATGTAATTTTGATCTTCCTTTTAGTTTTGGTTCTTCAAAATCTGCCAATTCAGATTTATTTATAAGTAATATCATCAAATTTTTGATGAGTGATGATGCATCATTCTTTCTTTTAGACACACACAAAAATCACAAGACATGATAGATGGGATTGAATTTTTTACAATTTTTATCTACCTGGGAATTCTTTGTCAGAAACTCATCACACTTATTCTTCCCTTCCTCATTCCTACTGTCAATTTCTGATCTTCCCAGTCTAACACACGTCCTTGCTCAGGTCCTATTTAACTCCCCTTGGACGATATTTCAACATGGGAAGAAAAGAGGTCCCTCCTCATTCAGTGACGTGGTACTACTGGTACATCTAGTATCAACTCCTATCTGTTTTAGAGGCAATTTTCTCTGCGGTTTACTTCTGTTTCTGATGTGCTGAGGATCTCTCCTCCACCCCACACACCTACTGAGCAGCAACAAGCATAAACCCACAAATAACCTGATAAAGCCTTTGATAGGCTTGATAAAGGCTCTAACCTGAAAGAGCCTTTGGCTTTTCTACAGAAAATCCCAGTCTGTCCCCGCCATTGCAGTCGTGAAAGAGAAAGACAATTCCACTCCTAAAAAGTCTTATTACTTTGTTTCTACAGCAAATCACGAACAATCACTTGCATTATGATATCACGAGTGGGAACTGCTAAGCTGTATCTCAGCAAGAGCTTCTCTGGCAAAACTAGACATATGTGCTTTGCCCATATCCCATCGAATCTCTTCTTTTTTAGTGCTCCATATTCCTAGATATCTAATGCCCGACCTCTTTTCTAAATCAACAGAAAGACGAAACTCTTTCAGAGTCACTGTTCTTTTCACTCTTCTCTGTCAAGACAGGATAATGTCATAAGGGTTAATTTTCTACCACTTTGTAAGAGCTTTTTTAATCCCCATTTGAAAATCTGCATCTTTTTTTAGCTTTTCATACCTAGCAGTCTCATGTCCACATCTGGAGAGCTGGCAGTATGTTATTCATGCATTATCTTGCCTACAATACATTAAAACGCAGTACTTTGAAGCCTGTATAAGAACTTCCTAATTTATGATAATGTTTTTATATGTCAATGAACTGACAAAACTAAATGTGATTTTTCCATTTAAGGACAGAAAAGCAAAGATGTTTCACAATCTGAATCAAGTTTTACTATTATATAAATTAAATGCATGTTATTTGTTTGCTCTCAAACTCCCCTGATAACATGATGATTAAAGGAACGCATACGGCTTATTTCACAAGGTCTTAAAGTTGGCAAATAGGAAATTCAGACTGATGGATCAATTATAATTAGCTATAGAGTCAAGGCACAGGTGTCAGAATTTTATAGAAGTTGTTTTTTGTGTCGAGGTTCTCAGTTTAGTGCATTATTACATCAGCTTGTCACCACCTTTGGATGAGGTTATGGATTCCTGAGTTGACTCCCAGAATATCCAGATCTTACAAAGATTTATACATTCTGCCTAAAGTGATTTCAATGATTTCGCTGGGAATACTCACATGAATAGTTACATACCAGAGTGTTTTAGGGAATTCTAAACAGGAAATATAATAATTGTTTCCCAATAGGAACATTAATATAACTATGTTGCATTTACTACATATACTACATATATTTATGATACTATATAACTTTAACAACATAATACACGATATTATGTTAAACAGTTTACAAGAAAAGTGAGCATAAAGAATACTGCACAACTTGCTGTTTTTCAATGTTATTCCTGACTTCATAGCAGGTTTTTTTAAGGGATTCTCAAGAATTTTGCTGTGTATGTTTCAACAAGAGATTTTTGTTCTATCTCACGAAAAGAGTCAAAGCAGCAGCAGCTTGTGTCAGCTGTGCTAAGATGTGCATGGAGAATGAGAAGTAATGCCACAAAACTGTGGAGTGGTCCATATAATTTCACAATGAAGTCTACAGTAAAAATAATAGAGTATGTAAAAGTGGTGTTCTGATAATATCTGTGTGGGAGGCAAAATGGAACCTAATAATAGTAATACGATTCAGGAATAAATGGAATAGCTCTAAGTATAGGAATCATGCAAATATAACAAAATATATCAGCCCAAAGTATAAGCACTGTTTGCATTCAAATACAAAACTTTGGGCTATAAATTGAGAATTCAGTTGTGGAATTTGTGGATTAAAAAAAAAAAAAAAAAGCACATTAGCAATCACAAGACTGAGCCATCCATTTGACACTGAAAAAAAAAGACTGCGGGATGTATCAGTTGGGGCATTTGTATTTGAGGTACAAAAATAGTCATGTCACAGTGGTGGCACTTAGGAATATCATGTGAAATTTTAGTCATTCTGTTCAAGAAAAAAAATATTCAGATTGGGAGAATTGGATGAGAGAAATGTCAGAATTATCAAGAGAAACAAGCTTTTTTCATTTAAGGACTAAAATAGCCTGATTTGTGTGGTTTTCCAAGAGGGGGAAAAAAAAAAAAAAGTAAAAAAATGCTATAAATGTATTCCTATAAATGTATAACAGACTGTCATGGGGAAGATGTATATAAACTCAACAGTAATTTATAATGAATGGCATTGATTTGGACTGGAAGCCGATAAAATAGAAGCCTGTAATTACAAGGGTATAGGTGTCAAAAGACAGAAGCTTTATAGGAACTGAGTAGTACTGGAAACCAAAATCCTAATATTTCAGGATGAAATAACAGCAATTTGGGTAAAAATTATGCATTTCAGTATCAGGGGGTTAAACTTTATGACAAAAGGTATTTACCGTTTTTGGACATACCTTCTGTTGTCCTTAAAAAGGTGAGAAGGTCAGCCAACAATTATGCATCAGGTAAGAAGCAGCTTTTATGCAGTCTACTTGTATCCTCATTCAGATTTAGTTTTCAGCCATTTTCTGATCATGAACTCTTCTGTGGTTAAGTAAGGTTCATCTCAAAACAATATCCTGTAACAGAAATAGATTTTTTGGGTTTTTTTCAATTTTATATATACAAGCCCATGAATAAAAGTTTTAGCTCAAAAGACTGAATGTCTCAGAAAGTTTTTGACATTAGTGTTGGAAATAAAATATTTTTCAGCAGGCAAATACCCTTAGAAGTTCCTCATAAACAATCCAGCTAAAGTATTCCAAAACAGTAAATATGTACCAGCACTTTAAATTTAAGGACTTGAGCCACTGCTCTTATACCAAGTTAATGCAAGTGTAATTCCACTGACTTCATGAAGATACATCAGAAACGAATTTTATATGGCTCAGAATTAAGCCTATGTTAAGCTTAACTTTGAAAGAAACCAGCTGAACTTGTGCAGGGAAATATTAATATAGTAACCTATGCAGGAAGCGATCTGTGGAGTCAGTTAAGGTTTCACGCCCGTTACACCACAAGTATGTGAATGGGTATTTTCTAGTTTTCAGGGCTCCATATAGTGTATCAATCTCCATTATAATGGGATTGGTGCTTTTGATTTTTATTTTTTTTTTTAATTGCAGTAGATCATTAATATTTTAACATTTTTTTTAATAAATCTTCAACATTGGAAAAATATTTGAACATGTGTACAGCTGCATTTATTTCAAAGCTCTTTTTTGCATCTCAGATTGATTGTCTATATAATTTCTATGCTACAGATGAAAGCACAACAATATTGTTATTTGCTAAGTATGAATTTCAATGGAAAAACCAAATTTCAAAACAAACAAACAAACAAACAAACAAACACCAAACAAAAAAACAAAGAGAAGGCTTCTGAAACTTTTTGTGTATCTTAAAAAACAGCTCTAGTGAAAAAAGTCTAAGGTAATACTTCCTTTCTAGAAACAATATAGATTTTAGAAAATATGTTATGTAACATGGTATATATGACACAGATAAGGAAGGAGTTGTACATCTGAGTTGAGAGCATTTTTTCTTCAGTGCTGTTTAATAACAGTATTTAGACAAAATGTCATTAATACTGTTTTAAGAAGAGGTCCATTTCTCCAAATCTTTAAATACTGCCCCAGTCCACATGCCTTCCAGCTCCCTGTGAAGGTCTGTGCTGTGTCACACACCCATGTCCTCACCTCCCCAGGAGGTCAGCAGCAGATGAGTTTGCTCAAAAACAGTGCCCCCAGAACCATCCAGGTAAAATGTGAATCGGTACCAGACCTGCACTTCCCTGTGCTGCTCTCAACAGCCTTGGCTTCACCAGGACATAAGTTTTATGAGTAGTTAATAGTTAAGAGGAGTTAAAAGTTTTATAAATATTCGACTGCTCAGGAATCTAATATTTAAATCCTAGACTAAAAGGCTGTGCCAAATATCCAAAATAAATTTCAGTAAAGGAGATATGTTGTTATTCCTCCTTTTGGGGACATATTTATGCTCAGCTCCTGAGGTTTAGGGACAATTTACAGCAACATGTAACATACACCAATTAATTTGCTTTGCTGTGTCAGCTACATGCCTACAGTATATGTTCAGAAAATTGTATTTCAGAAATAAAGTGTTTGACTAGTAACATAACAGAATCAAGAGGAATTTGAACCTTCATTCTCTGAGTATATTCTGCATTCCTTGTTATTACATTATCTAAAATTGCAGTGGTCATATTTCTTGCCTAGGCCTATTCAGGCCCTCTGTACAAACTGAATTTCATCCATTAAGCAGATTGAGGATATGCCTACTATGTTGTTAGTGGCATTGTCAGCAATGATTTATGTTTAAGAGAAAGTGGGCAAATGTGCTCAGATTCATATGTGGTAGTATTGTCCGGAAACTTGTTCTCATTGGTGGAAAAAATTCATAATTTCATTTTAAATGAGTCGCCTATTATCCTCTACTTTAGCTTTATTAAGAGCTGATAATTACTCTGCTAGTCTTGTTCAGTATGTATTATTTCGTCTCTTGTTATTAACTGCTGGAATTACTATCCCTGTAGTTTGGAAAGAGCTCAATATTCTTTCATTTGACAGATGGCTTACCAAAATCTGGGTAACTCTTAGCTGTATGGGAAAAAAAACCTCCAAAACATTAGCCCCAAGAACAATTCATACTACAGATATCTGAATATATGGCTATTTTTAGTATTATGCTGCAGCTAGCAATAGAAGAGAAAGTCAGGGATTCTGTAATGCTTTTCTCCTCACACTCCCAAATGACATGGATCACAGAGGATGTAAATAGGTTGCCTCAGTGTGCTGCAGAGTCTTGGTACCACTTTTCCAAATTAGATGTCTCCTGCCATGTTCTTTGGGAACTGTAGCTTCCAATTTATTTCCAAGCAAGTTGACATAAGACCTTCCAATTCTCATTCAGAAAACCTTACCTTACTCTGGACATTTCAATGCTAGTGCAGCCTTATACCCATCCAGGCAGTTCTTTAGGACTTGGACCTCTATAATTTATTTCTTCAGGCTAATGCTTATAGGAAGAGCTAATTGGTTTTTATTACGACACAGGATAGTTGCAAAACATGAATGAACTCTTCAACACAAAGCTGAAATAGAAACTGAAACCTTCAAGACCGGTGGAAGCTGAAAACGATTGGTTTACTTTTAATTTATGCTACTGAAATAATAGAGGAGAAGGGAGCAGTTGTAGAACAGTGGAAGAAAGCAGCATGTTATCAAAGGAGAGGTGGTAATTCATTAGAGCTTTCTGTATGTGTGGGTAATTACTGCTTACAGAAAATTGAATGGTTAGCTGAAGATTTGGGATTTTTATAACCAGTAGTTTGAACAATTAATTATTTGCGAGAGTCAGATCCAAGTCATCTTGCTCAAAATGAGGAATCTTCCTCTGAAAGTCTCACACTGACTTGAGCTTACCAGCTTGAAAATCAGGATGTTTATCCTTTTGCATAAGAGTTCAAGATCTGGCCTTAGCTTGGGCCCAAATAGTCATTTTGTGGATTTCACCACTTTCAGCCCTGAGACATACTGTTGTCTAAGACTAAATCATAAGCCTGCTCAGCCACTGCTAAAAATACCGCTCCACACCCTTGCATTAAAGTGTTCATTTATACCTACACACAAGGAGTGTTGATGCAGTGTGATCACCAATTTAGGGAGCATTTTCATCCTTCCTCTATTTTTTTTTCTCCTTCCTACTCCTTTTCCTCTCACATACATCAAGCAGGCAGAGCTGAGAGGGGAGGGTGAGGAAGGTGAGTCCCCATGTCCCTCAGGAATGACTGGGGGAAGAAGACGTTCCTTCTGCTCTGAAGGGATGAGCTCCTGGTCTGTCGTACCACATTTCAGTCCCAGCAGCCCTGTTCTTAGTGCTGGTGGCAGACACTCTTGCCAGAGTATTGCTCATTCACTCCTGCTTTCCTCCACACGAAATCTATATGTGTAAGACTCGTTACAAATTCTCCACAGTTTTTTCTACCTGACTGTTATCAGCTTAAACAAATTGCTCACACCAGGCTTCCTTCCTTTTTCAAGTCAGATTTTCCATTGATTATAAAAAGAAGATTCTGCTTTGAAAGGGAAGACATATGTTATTTTTCTCTGATCATTGCTGTGGCATTCATTCTCAGATGTAGCACAGAAATTTCTTCCAAAAAAACTTGGTAGTTTTGACAAAATTATTCTAATCAATAAAATTGCTTTCTTCTTGTCAAAAATGCCTGGTGTCATCTACGCATGAGAATAAGAAAATACTACAACCCTTATGGTAAAATAATATAAACCTAATTCACTGGATATTGAATGATTTGAAACATACCATAGCACTGATTGATTTGAAGAAAGTCAAGAAAATAAATGATGCAACTTCTTAACTCTGCCTTTCAAAAAGCTAAACCATTGTGCTCCTTTATAAATAAAGGATGGATAGCCTGAACCTGAGAAGTACAGCTAATTACATGGCTTTCTAAGACAAGCCATGCTAATTTGTTTTAATGTTTGCATTTCCATTTTTATGAGTTTCTCTAGTTTCCACAGTGTTTATAATTCTGTTCTAAATCAAATGGAAAACATTTAGGCTGATGCTTGTCTTGTAACAATTGTAGGACTCTATGACTTTGTGATTTTAACTGTAGTTATTGTAAAGAATGTCTTTAGTAAAAACAATATCTTAAGATGTAAGGAGCAGTTAATAAAGTAGCTCAATGACATATTGCTGGACTGACTGGACACACCACTCCTCCATTAAAGGATATGTGCTCATGTGAGTGTCTGGATACATAAAAAAGAGGAAGCCAAGAGTTATTAAATAGGCATGTCAACTACCCTTTACAGGTATGTGTACAGATTTGTGCTGATTTTTCTTCCTTGTTTCTCCAAAATGATCAAAAATATGCTGTACACTGTGGGTTATTAAATTAAAATTCAAGTGCAGGAACACAAATCATGTAGATATAAACTCTCAGACTTGTTTGCATTACAAAGATTTCTGTGCTTGACAGTAAGTCTTAAACATGAACTGGTTGGCAAAATAATACATCCTGCTTTGTAGTAATGAAAATTAAATAAATAATATGCAAGTTGAATCCCACTTGAGATTCTGTTGACCATGAGCTGACAAGTCCTAAGGTAAAGAAGGGTCACATCTGAATGGTAGCACCGAGGAATAAGAAGCCCATCAGACAGTATGGGTTTGTTGAGAACAATATGTGGATATAAAAGAATAATATCTTAAAATTTGAGGGATGCTACTAGTTTGCTGACTGGAGGTAAACCATTTTAGAAAAAATGAAACTAATAAGCCCAAAAGTAACAATCAAGGAGAGTTGAGGGGCAAACAGGATCATCAAAGAAAAAATAATCAGTACTTTATTTCATTGATAGCTCTTATTTCAGTTCTTTTGATTAGCTCGGTCACAGCTTTTATTACTTTATGTGTCACCTGTTATTCCTGGGAAAAAGGAAAGTGTCAGTCATAAAGTTAAGAAGCGAAACCTACAAAGGTATTATATTTCCTTTGCATAAAAAGGATGGTAATGAAAGCAGAAAACTAA